TTTCTCGGGATGAACACAAGTTCTAGTGTAAACATCATCATCACTGTAGACATCAAAGACCATTATCTTCGTTTACCTGTGACACTGGCATTCTAGTGGGCCTGCGAGCCACTACAAGCTAACGGATGCAGCTATCACTGGAACACCCTGGTGCTGACCTGAGCTGTGGGAGTAGAACATCTGCTCATTATCTCAAGACCGGTGAATAACATGCTGATATTTAGCCTACATCCGCAAGGACTAAGAAGTTGAAGCTTTTACACACAGTATTTAAGTGTGTACTGGAACATACAAAAAGCAAATTGAAGAAGGTAGATGAGGGGTTATGAGGTCAAATTATCCGCCCTCGGGAGTGTGTGTAATATGTGTGTGACAATCACTAGGTCAGGAGAGATATGAAGACGATCTTAGACATTTTCTTCGAGTCATTTCGTAGGAAGAACACGCCTAGTGCACCTGGACTGTGACTCTCCTGACCATAACGTATGCCATCCCAGGTGACTAACACACCTTACCTTGTGGTTACCTTAAAGCTACCGTGTCATGAGTTCGGGGCTCAATGTCCCCGTAGCCCGGTCCTCGACCAGGCCTCCTGGTTGCTGGACTGGTCAAGCAGGCTGTTGGACGCGGCCTGACGTATGAGTTACAGCCTGGTTGATCAGGTAACCTTTGGAGGTGTTTATCATGTTCTCTCTTGAAGACTGCGAGGGGTCGGCCAGTTATGTGTAGTTGAAGCGTGTTGAAGAGTGTGTGGTGTTGATACAGCCTGCACCTGTAACATGCAAGATCACGCACGCCCGTTTGTTATGCTGGAGGTTCTTGGAGGTCGATAAGACGCTGACAGAGCTTTCCTAGTGCAGCCTCGACCGTTGCCACCCGGCCTCTGAGACATGTCCACCCCAAGTGTACAGTATATATTATTTGATACCTTTCTCGTCTCCTTTGCAAAAAGTACATTTAAAGAGCTTCGAGACGGTTTCAATAATTCAGAAGTTTTATCGTGTCTGGCGTGCCGTATATGTTTTCTGTATTCCCTCTAATTCAGAGATCTCTCCTGCTCTGAAAGGGAAAATGAATAATACTCGAGACGGGACAGCACTAGTGATTTAAATATTATTTGCATTGTTGTGGGGTCTCTGGATTTGAACGTTCTCATAATACATCTAATCATTTTCCTGGCCGCCGCAATATTTGCTCGGTTTTGTTAAAGGACCTGGAATTCCCAGGTCCTTTACATGTTGCATTCCTTTTATGATTGTGTCCTGTAACCTGTGTTTCGGTTAAGTTCCTCGTTTTCATCATACCTATGTACCTGGAGTTTCTCCCCGTTAAACATCATGTTATTTTCAGTTGCCCAATCGAAAACTTTATTAATATCTGCCTGCAGTTTTTCAGTGTCTTATACAGGAGGAAATTTTCATGCTGATTTTTGTATCATCTGCAAAGGATGACACGAAGCTGTCACTAGTTTTTTTGGTCTATATCCGAGATAAGAATGAGAAATAGCAGTGGTGCAAGGACTGTGTCCTGGGGTACAGAGCTTTTCACTGCACTTGGGCTTGATCTTATTTAACTGACCTTCACTCTCTGCATTCTGTTTGACAGAAAGATGAAAATCCCCTCCGAGAGGAGGGGATGTTTGTGCCCCACTTTACCCATTATTCCAATTTATAACATTTTATGGGCTATCACTCCATGATCACATTTATCGAATGCCTTTGCAAAGTTTGTGCATTCAACATCTTCATTTTGCTTTTCCTCTAAGACTACTGTGATTTTGTCAGGTGGCAAAAATCACTTGACAACTGCAACAGTCAGGATCTTCCCGCTCTATATCCATGTTATCCTGGGTTGTGTAGCTCATTACTTCCCCATAAAAATAAGACAATTTTTAATCACTCTTTCAAAAACTTATTATGTGTGATGTTTGTGCAACTGGTCTATAAATTTTTGCCAAAACTTTACTACCCCCCTTGTGCAGCGGAGCTATATCTGCAGATTTAAGTGCAGCTGGTATCTCCCCTGTATCAAGGCTCTTTCTGCACATTACACTGAGCGCTCGCGCTACTGGTACTTTACATTTCTTTATGAATATTGAATTCCGCGAGTCAGGACCAGGGGCTGAGTGTATGGGCATATTGTCAATTTCTCTTTCAAAGTCTTCCGAGTTCGTGTTAATATCCATTATATTATCTGCAGCTTGGATGTCAATCATAAAGAAGCTGTCTGGATCATCAACTTTCATGTTGTTTATTGGTGTGCTAAACATAGCCTCATACTGGCTTCTTAGAATTTCACTAATTTCTTTGTTGTCCTCTGTGTACGTACCTTCAGTTGTAATTAAAGATCCAATACTGGTGGAGGTTTTTTATTTTGATTTGCACGTGTGAAAAAATATTTTGTATTTTTCTTTCTCTTGTATAGCTTTCTGTTCCAATTCCATTTCATCAGACTTGAATGATCACTTCAACGTCTGCTCTATTTCTTCGATCGCCCTGTTTAGATTTATTTTCCTTTCTTGTGATAGTTGTGTCTGTTTAAGCGCATCCGAGATTTTTGTCCACCCAACACAGATGTCAGCTTTAACTTCCGGGAATTAAATAAAATGGAAAAAGTTACTAAATAAACACATGAATAAAGAACTCTGAACAATAAAATGTTGGTTTGATTTTTGAAGTGTAGACAACCAGAACAGGTGCAGCTTTCCGCCAGGACGCTCCCACCACCACCACCCGTCCAGGAAGGTCACCACCACCCCACAACCACAACCGGCTTCAGCCCCACCACCTCCACACTGGTATTAATGTTTGTTAACCCAACCATAATAAATTACATCCTGGATGAGTTTTTCTTTAATTGCATCAGGCTGTTGGCCTTAAGACCCCACAGGTGACGTGCCCCGTCCACCCACTACCACAGGTGACGTGCCCCGTCCACCCACTACCACAGGTGACGTGCCCCGTCCACCCACTACCACAGGTGACATCCCCCGTCCACCCACTACCACAGGTGACATCCCCCGTCCACCCACTACCACAGGTGACATCCCCCGTCCACCCACTACCACAGGTCACACTCCACTATCAGTCCCTCTTGAGACTATCCACTTCGTCCATTAACTTCTCCACCAGGGGGTGGATATATATATAGATAGTCCCTATTGTCTAGGCATAGACAATGTCTATTGTCTAATGTGTTTGTCTATTGTCTAGACATAGACAATAGGAGCCTGGAACAGGCGACCTCCAGCCTGAGAGACCAGTGATCTACTGACTGGGCTGCGAGCTAGCCACAATAAGGAAGGATCTCAGAGGCACCAAACCGTTGCCCAAACTGAAACTTGAAGCCTTCCCCTGGCCTGCTACTTTGGCACAGAAGAATTAGGCGCTCCATACCCGAGTCATAAATTATCAACCACTATCCACAGTATCGTGGATAGTAACATCTCATTCACCTGGGCAACAGATGCCTCGAACACGCGACCTTCAGCATGAGACGAGTGCTGGTGAATGCCCACAGGATGGGTATGAGGTCCGCTGTAGCCCACAGCGTGGGTATGGGGTCAGCTACAGCCCACAGGATGAGTATGGGGTCCATTACAGCCCACAGGATCTGCTCATCCTAGATGACGATCAGAGGTTGTCAGATATGATTCACAGTCACTCATCAGCTGGTCGTGAACATCAACACTCCACACTGCCATAAATACAACATACCTGGAGCATACCTGGAGAGGGTTCTGGGAGTTCTTCTACTCCCGGAGCCCGGCCTGAGGCCAGGCTCGACATGTGATAACTTGGTCCACCAGGCTGTTGCTTGGAGCGGTCCGCAGGCCCGCATACCCACTACAGCCTAGTTGGTCTGGCACTTCTTGCAAGAATTTATCTAAGTGCCTGTTGAATACATCCTCCTTCGTTCCGGCGATATTTCTGCTGCTTGCTGGGAGGTAGAGAGCGGCTCTCACCATCACATCAACCAGGTACCACCAGTAGGTGTCAAGGGTTGCCCGCAGCTTGGGTAAGCAGGAGGCTTGACGGCCGCTGTGCCACAACTGTATGACTACAGCCGTCGCCAAATGGTTCAACACAAGCACATCCATCACCCAGACTACACATTACTCCCCCCCCCCAGGGTGGTGTCGTGCCAGCCAGGCTCCGGCCAGCACCCAATTGACCGGAATATGTCGTACACACCGCTAGTACACCCCAACAAACCTACCACCACCACCAGCTTCCAACCACCACCAGCAGCCTGCAACCCACCACTGAGGAAGGCAAGTACATGAATCGGAAAAAGAAAATGATTTAGGAAATGGAAAAATGACAATAATTCCAACGCAAACTCCGACGGCTCACATAAACGAGGTAACATCTGCAGCAAATGGGAAGCTGACAAGTATTAGAACATTTAGTAACCTAAAAAGTAATTTACAAATTCACTAGGATTATCTCAAGGCAATCTAGACAACCTATGTTAGACCAGTTGGAGAATATGCATCACCAGCTTTGAATCAGCACCTTGTCAATCACACAGCAAACATAAAAAAGTACAAAGGGTTGGAACACGATTAGTGCCAGAACCAAGATGATTAATCTACACCCATACGCCCAGGGAACCGAATCTTACAGCTGTTAGGGGAGAGAAGAAACAGAGAGGAGACATGACCACAAAATACAAGATGCGGAGGTGTAGACAAGGACATGTGCAGCCTCTTTAAACGGACAATAGGACAGGAGGATAATGGTGGACGTTGGAAACGCTAATTAGTAGAATAAATGGAAGGAAATATTCGCATCCTGTACGGCTGGTCAACTTCTGGAAGCCGTACTTTGCCTTCCAGCTGTTGTTCTGAAGTTCTGTTGGCGATTATTTATATTTGAAATACGTGGGTGAAGCATTTGTAGAATTGTGATTCGAACAGAGGACATGAGCGATGCACTTGTTCCGGAAGTGTTCGGACCATCCCTTAACCTTGTGTAAAGGTAAGGTCCGAACCTTACCTTAGCCTTTAGGTAGTACCTTTAAGTTTAAGGTACCTTAGCCTTTACACAAGGTAAAGGTAAGGTACCTTTACCGGACGTCACTGGTTGTGAGTCGTGTGTAAACCGCTTTTCATCCATAAACAGGGGGTTTGGCGGGTGCATGGAATGGACTTTGGCCATTGTTTATGAGGACGGGCTGCAACATCCTGGTGCTCAGCAGTTCAATCCTTGCAACACGATTAGTTTAGACCCCGAGCGTGTACCGCGGGACCTCGCCTACCAAACATTACTCCATCAATCAATTCTGATAATAAGTTGTAACAACTTGGCTCCCGGTGAATCTTGCCTCTATTACCTCTTGTCTGATCAAAATTCCATTTAACCTTTGTAAATGCACATTACTGACACTATGTAAAAGACACATCGAACACTATGTAGAGCATACGTAAATCTGTGTATCTATGTACTTACGTTTGTAGGTTAGCTTAGCATTTTAAAAGCTTGCTAAGCTTTTAAGCCAAGGCCCCGGGGCCAGGCTTGACGATAATTGTCGTGTGCGCGCGCGTTCATATCTGTGTAAATGTGTTCCAGCTTTCTGGTCCTGTCACTAAGCTAAGCTTAGGGGAGCCGGTCGGCCGAGCGGACAGCACGCTGGATTTGTGATCCTGTGGTCCTGGGTTCGATCCCAGGCGCCGGCGAGAAACAATGGGCAGAGTTTCTTTCACCCTATGCCCCTGTTACCTAGCAGTAAAATAGGTACCTGGGTGTTAGTCAGCTGTCACTGGCTGCTTCCTGGGGGTGGAGGCCTGGTCGAGGACCGGGCCGCGGGGACACTAAAAAGCCCCGAAATCATCTCAAGATAACCTCAAGATGGGTCGTCTGGAACAACGACGATCGAATCACTTTTCTACTTTACCATATATATCCATGTAGCTGTGGACGGTGCTGGCTTCCACTATGTGCGTAGTGGAAGCATTTAAGCGGAAGTCCAATATTATTAATTCCAACCCCAGAAAAAGTACAATATGAAGATGAAGAAGCCGCGAGGTCCCCTAAATTATGTGTAATTACACAAACATATGATGCAGAACACGGCGTAAGAGCCAGCGGCACAAGACCTGGTGGCCAGGTAGCCAACCTGGACTATACCTGCACCACGCTTCAGGGGGATGGTCTACTCCCAGCCCCAGACCGGTCCCATATTGGGCGAGGCTAGGAGCCTGGAGGGGACGTAAGTCGACCCACCGCCAGCATGGTCCTCCAAGACTGCCTCTGTCGCCTAGGGTCGAGGTCGCTCATCTTCTTCACACTCCACTGACCTACCTTTCTTCATATTCCTCCTCTTTCATCTCTCCCACACACACTGGGATCTGGACAGGGCCACCACAGTGGTGTAGCTGTGAGGACAGAGCGCAGGACTTGTAATCCTTTGGCCCGGGTTCGATTTCCGGCGCTGGCAGAGACAAACAGGCAGAGTTTCTTTCACCCTGATGCCCCTGTTACCTAGCAGTAAATAGGTACCTGGGAGTTAGACAGCTGTTGCGGGCTGTTTCCTGAGTGTGTGTGTGTGGGGAGGGGAGGAAATAGTAGTTAGTAACAGTTGATTGACAGTTGAGAGGCGAGCCGAAAGAGCAGAGCTCAACCCCCGCTAGCACAACTAGGTGAATACAGTTATTGCCCCGCTCGTGTGTCAAGAAGTCCACTGCGGGCTCACCTTAGCCCGTGCTACTTGCAACTTTTTGTTCAGAGTAGCTGAATTTATATCATCATCATCTCTCCCATCTTCCTTAACTTGCTACGCTCTTGACAGTTGCTCACCAGCGTGGTAACTATTCTGGCAGCAACCAGGCTGACTTACGTGCTCCAGCCTCGACCCAGCACCATGTCTCCAGCACCAGCCTTCTTCACCTCCTCACTTGTGGCAGAAATACGAAATATTACTACCATCTTATATTGACTCAGATGTGCTTCTTCAACCCCTCCTCCTGTTTAGATAGTACGTTTTGTAACTATCTGCACCATAGTACAAACATTGCCGTACTAAGCAATTATTGGAATTTTGTACTGTTCACTTTAGTCTGAAAAAAACTAAACAAATTTAAATATTCTAGGCCTAGTATTGCCTACATATGTACTATGTTAGGCCTCAGATGACGTATTAGGCCAGGAAGGTTTGGTTAGTTTAGTTTGTCTTTGCAACATAAGAAAATCTCTTCCAGTCTGTCCAAATGCAATAGTACCGATTTCGACTTTCTAACTGCGTTGTAGGTCAGGCGCCTACATTATTATGTCAGGGTAACCACACGGTAAGGTTCATATCTAAGGATCCAGCGGACTGGAACTAACGACAAAAAATGTAATTGGCTGACAATCGCCCATATTGTGATGAAGGATTACCCTGCGACCTGGCCATGATATCGGGGCTTAGCGTCCCGCGGCCCGGTCCTCGCCCAGGCCTCCTAAAGACTGAGCCCTTTCTTGTTTAGCGCGTTGTTGTTCTTGTTTAAGAATCGCTACCTGGAACAAAACGTTCCAAGCAGCACAGGCTATGGTGAGCCCGTGGTGAACTTTCGTGTTTAGCGCGGTAAGAGGTGCAGCAACGGGTGTAGAGTAGTGACGGGTGGGCGTGAGGGTGGGTATAGGCGGCGGTATGGGCGTAGTTACCGGCCTTAGAGGGTCGTGGGAATGTGGATGGGCGTGACCAGCTGGGAGGGCGATGGCAGCAGGTGGTACTGGCGGAGCGTCAGGCGGTGTTGGGATCAATATGCCGCCTCCTGAAGGTCAAGGTTCTGTGTCTTACTATGGCCCGCCTCGCTGGCTTGTATCTGGGCTCTCTTCCAGGTGTGCCAGTTTCCTGCCAGTGTGCGTGCGTGCGTGCTCATCTAGTTGTGCTTGAGGAGGTTGAGCTCTGGCGCTTTGGTCCAGCCTTTCAACCGTCAATCAACTGGTGTACAGATTCCTGAGCCTATTGGGCTCTATCATATCTACATTTGAAACTGTGTATGGAGTCGGCCTCCACCACATCACTGTCTAATGCATTCCTCCTGTTAACTACTCTGACACTGAAAAAGTTCTGTCTAACGTCCCTGTGGCTCATTAGGGTACTCAAGTTTCCACCTGTGTCTCCTTGTTCGCGTACCACCCGTGTTATACAGTTTATCCTTGTCTACTCTGTCAATTCCTCTGAGAACTATGTATGTAGTCATAATGTTTCCCCGTACTCTCCTGTCTTCCAGTGTCGTGAGGTGCATCTCTCGCAGCCTTTCCTCGTAACTCATGTCTCTTAGTTCTGGAAATAGCCTAGTGGCATTCCTCTGAACTTTTTCCAGCTTCGTCTTGTGCATGACAAGGTACGGGCTCCATGCTGGGGCCGCATACTCCAGGATTGGTCTTACATATGCTGTGTACAAGGTTCTGAATGATTCCTTACACAGGTTCCTGAAGGCTGTTCTGATGTTAGCCAGCCTCGCGTATGCCGCAGATGTAATTTTTTTTTATGTGGGCTTCGGGAGACAAGTTTGGTGTAATATCAACTCCTAGATCCATGACCTAGACCTAGGAGATCATAGATCTTAGAGATCATAGATCTCCTAGGTTGTTCAACCGTGGACCTCCTAGGTCCACGATTGTTCAACATCCTCCCAGTGAGCATAAGAAATATTGCCGGAACAACCGTGGACATCTTCACGAGAAAACTAAATCATTTTCTCCAAGGAGTGCGGGACCAACCGGGCTGTGGTGGGTATGTATGTAGGCCTGCGGGCCGCTCCAAGCAACAGCCTGGTGGACCAAACTCTTACAAGTCAAACCTGTGTTTAACTAGGTATGGACGCCAGGCTGGAGCTGCATACTCCAGGATTGGTCTGACATAAGTGATTTACACCAGTCAAATCATAACATAGAATGAAAGAGCAATGTAAGGGATTTGGGTGTACTCATGTGCAGAGCAGAGCGTGCAGAGAACCTTTACTGCTAGAATCCACTCAGTAAAACATCTAAACTATTGGGACCGACTAAAGAGCCTAAATCTGTATTCTCTTGAGCGCAGGCGGGAGAGATACATAATAATTTACACGTGGAAAATAGTAGAGGGGCTGGTCCCAAACCTGCACACAAAAATAACACCACACGAGACCAGAAGGCATGGCAGGATGTGCAGAATACCCCCGTTGAAGAGCAGAGGTGCAACAGGTACTCTGAGAGAGAACTCTATCAACATCAGAGGCCCGAGACTGTTCAACACGCTTCCACTACACATAAGGGGCATAACTGGCCGACCCCTCACGGTGTTCAAGAGAGAAATGGATAAACACCCCCAAAGAATACCTGATCAACCAGGCGATGATTCATACGCCAGGCTGCGAGCAGCCGCGTCCAACAGCCTGGTTGACCAAACGATCAACCGCGAGGCCTGGTCGGAGACCGGGCCGCTGGGACGTTGATCTCGGGAACCTCCACAAGGTACGTTGTTGTTCCTGAGATCAACCTCCACAAGGGACGTTGATCTCAGGAACCTCCACAAGCTTTTTTTTTAGTGTTACTTTACGCCCTCACGCTAATCACATTGCTGCCTTCGATTGATTGATTGAGTGATTGATAAAGATGAAGGCACCAAAGTGGTGACTCAGGCATGAATGTAAGCACAGCACAGGTAAGTGCTGCCTTCTCAAACTTGTCTGTGGTTGTGTTTCTAATCAATAACAGCAGGTAGAGGATGACGCTTTATCCTTGGGCTGCTCTATAAAGATTAGGGCTTAAAGGCCACGCCCAACCTGACCGTTAAGACCACTCTGGCGGGCCAGCCAGAGGCTTAATGTCCACGTTCGGTACTTTACCTGTAAATATCCACTTTACCTTTATTAGGTCTACTCTCAAACATTAATCTTTCCATCTTCCTGCTCCCTCTACCAAAATGCATTCATTCACATTGACTGTCCTCCGCCCATCTGCCCCATCCCCAGCGTCACCCTACACGTCTTCCGTCACCTTACACCGCGGATAATGTCCCGCCGTCACCCTCCCCTACACCCTGGCTGCCACACCCAGTGTCCGCCCCGGGTGTCCGCCCCGGGTGTTCCTCAGCGGGGGAAATAAGCTACACCACACACGCTGAGGGATTACCGACGCATTCTAAAGCCCCGAAGACACGTATCCCGTGGAAAACCCGCCGTTGGGAAACGTCATCACGGCAAGGGCGGCATCAACACCTGCAACCAATACCTGGTTGATGGGGTTCTGGGAGTTCTTCTACTGCCCAAGCCCGGCCCGAGGCCAGGCTTGACTTGTGAGAGTTTGGTCCACCAGGCTGTTGCTTGGAGTGGCCCGCAGGCCCACATATACCTGCTTGATGGGGTTCTGGGAGTTGTTCTACTCCCCAAGCCCGGCCCGAGGCCAGGCTTGACTTGTGAGAATTTGGTCCACCAGGCTGACAGGTGGATATTTCTGCATTTTTCCAATCTTCATTCGTATTAATAATGCTCCATTTAAATTGACTTATCTGGCTATTAACTGCAGTACATAGATCATAATCCGTATTGTGAATAAGAGGCAGAACCCGGCGCCCGGCACCTGTCTGTCTCTTAACCAAGACCTAAGTTAAGACTGATGCCGTGTGCTTCAGCGTCCTTCATTAGCAACATTATAATTTTCATAACTATCAACGGCTTCAAAGACACTTGAATACCAGAGAAAACTTCCAAATCATTATCATCCGTTATCATCAAGTTATCATCAAGCAGGTATGTATTCAGATGATCATCCAAATTGCAGATTCATGCAGTCATGTATTACATTAGGGGGTTTTCAAGCTTACAAATTGAGTTTGTAATTAATTCTTCAAGTAATTTACCCGGAATTCATGCTAATGGGATGGTACCCCCTGGAGTGGGTTCTGGGCGCTCTTCTCCCCAGCCAGGCCTGAGGCCAGGCAGATCTCTCACCATTCTACGAAGTGATTGCGTTAATGATCCTCTGCGCTGTGCAATGGATTTTTTTTTAACTAATTACACTGAGGGGTAACTAAATTCTTCCTTCCAATATTTTAAGACTAGTAAACTAATATCCTATCAGAGCCTGTGAGACCATTATAATGTTTTACACACAGTTTCTGTAACTTATTTTCTGCTCTTAATACTGCTAACAAATATGCAGAGATGCTTTAAAAAATCTCGGTATACATAATTGTCACGACTGGCGGCTTCAGTATCTTATACACTCTGTATTTATGTTTTAATGTGTTTGTCGGTAACACTGACATACACACCTACCAGCAAGCAGGCAGGCAGGCAGGGAGGGAGGCAGGGAGGCAGGGAGGCAGGCAGGCAGGCAGGCAGGGAGGGAGGGAGGGAGGGAGGGAGGGAGGGCAGGCAGGCAGGCAGGCAGGCAGGCAGGCAGGCAGGCAGGCAGGCAGGCAGGCAGGCAGGCAGGCAGGCAGGCAGGCAGGCAGGCAGGCAGGCAGGCAGGCAGGCAGGCAGGCAGGGAGGCAGGCAGGGAGGCAGGCACACAGTAACCTTGAGAGCCAGCACACAAGGAACACCTACTTACCGCTAATTGACCTTTGACTCCGACGTTGGATAACGAGAGGCGGTTTTCTCACTTTGTCGTGGTACCTCCGGCTGAGGCATCAGGTGGTACCTCCGGCTGAGGCATCAGGTGGTACCTCCGGCTGAGGCATTAGGTGCCCACCTGATGCCTCAGTCGGAGGTACCACCTCCGTGCATCATTATGGTTGTCCCGCGGCACCAACACCCTCGCATTACACTTTTCTTCCTCTAACACCACATACTTTACCTTCTCTCTCTCTCACATAATTATGTATGTTTATGTTTTGCTGCCACTCCCAAGATTAAGTCAATCCAAAGACATTAACCACAAATTAATTATTATCTCTACTTCCCCTTCCTCCTCTAATTTGACTGATTTCACCAAGCCTTAAATAAATATGAGCT